CATTAATTCTTGTAATTGTTTCAGATTTACACGACCAAGACATTTATACCATAGTTCCATTACGTCCTTGTTTTGCGGTTAAAATATTCATCTAAAATAAGCAAGAGAAGGCTGATATGATACGTTTACCTCTCATTTCGGCTTCAACAATACCATCTTTATGCGCTGTAAACATCGCCTATAATTTGTAATTATGGAAACTGATAGTAAGCAACCTTAGACACCAGTTAAAAATATCGACATCTTCTGCACTTATCTTTAATTAAGGGATAGTATACCATTTTATTCCGGTACAATCGCATTTTTGTTTACTAAGTAGATTGTAATTCGTTTAGCGTCGTGTAGCCTACTCAGTGGCGTATTGTAGTGGGGGCGGCACTTTTTAGGGGGCGGCAAAATTTCACAATAAATAATAATAATATCTTGTAAAAATTTGAAACATCCTAATCTATACTTGCATCGCGCCTACAATAGTGCTATCGTCCGGACAGTCCGGGAATCGGCTCGCCGTCTGGGTGAAGTAGTGATTTTTTCATCCGAGGAAATCCTGCGAAACCTGTTGACCTTTTTTTTCTTTCTTTCTTTTTTCTTTTTATTTCGCTTGTACGATTCATTCGCGTTCATATACACCCCTAATATTCAATTGAACTATTTTAAACAGGTCGCTGCACTACCACTGAATTTTTCATTGCTTGTTCTGTGACAAAACTGAATTTTGGTCTTTTAAATTGAAATACCTAAATAAGGGGGGCCGAAATTTTCCTCCGCCCCGGGCGGCTGACATCCACGGTACGCCACTGCTTATGACACAACTTTCAAAAGTTCCTTTATTTAGATGCTTTTGCTGAGTTCTACTTTTTTAACCTGGCTTCATCAGTTTTTTAAATAGAATTTAAAGTATTTTTCAGTCATCAATAACTTAATAAGAAAATAGTTTTCATGATAACTATATTCATCTGACAGCCATATGATAGCCTGCATATTTTTTGGTATTCCAGAGAATAAATAAGAAAAATCTGGTGTAAATCAGACAAAGGGTTACGAAGTTAAGAAAGGGATGAAATCAGGAGGGGTAGTGTCCAGGTTTTTGTGATAGTCTATCTTTTCCTAAGGTCCCTGATACTAAGTGTGAAAAATCTGGTGCAGATCAGGCAAAGGGTTTAAGAGTTAATAAGGGGGCGAGAAATCATGGTGAAAATATGAATTAATAGATTAAAAGTAATAACAAAACATCTTGTCACATGGTAGCCAATTGACCAATGAAATGCAAAATTTAAAAAATGGGCTATAGTTTTATGAATATTCAATATTTTTAAATAAAACCTTCAAAAGGACAAAAGAAAGGAGTGATCAGCTCTCAAGAGCTATTAAGCATTGGCAAACTCCTCCTACATTTTCCAGTAGCTTGGTGTTGCTAAAATCTCTCTTGTAAATCTAGAGAAAATATGCTGAATTTGGGATTTCTTACGTCCAGAATAATCTAACAAATTTATTCAAAATTTAAGTCTTCCATAATCCTCATCACAGACACATTTTAAATTTTATCCAAATCTGTTCATTGGTCTTGGAGATATTAAAGATCAAATTTGGCACTTTAACATTACACATATGACTGAGCTCTACTATAAAGCATTAACATGCTCTATGATAAGTAGTGAGTCACCATATCTCATTTTTTAATTTTTATGTAGTAAATAACATGATTATAATACAACAGGATTGATACACGCAGATGGAGAATAGTAATTTCACTAGCGTGTTGTGGTGTTATGAACGGTGACCTTTAGCAAATAAGAGTTCACAAGCACTTTCGAATAGCATAAAGTTATCATCATCACGTGAAAAATTGAATACAACTGTTTCCAAGTTTGGAACATTTGAACACCTTATGGATTTAAATAAAGCACATGGGTAGAATATTAATTAATTTAAATTTGAAATAGAATAAAATTCAAAAACTCTTGAGCAGCCATATGAGTATTGTAATATCCCAAAAATGTGTAGTGAACAATAATAAAGTACTAGAGATGTTGACTAGTTTGCTTAAATAATGTTGTCCATATTTGTGGAATTTCAAATTTTATTCTATTTCAAATTCAAATTAATATTCTATCCATGTGCTTCGTTTAAATCCATAAGGTGTTCGAATGTTCCAAACTTGGAAACAGTTGTATTCAATTTTTCACCTGATGATAGCTTTATGCTATTGGAAAGTGCTTGTGAGCTCTTTTATTTGCTAAAAGTCACCATAACATGCTAGTGAAATTACATTATAAAAATGGAAGACTAGCTCAAGTGCACAAGAATAATTCTAATTATTAATGCACTAATTTATTATTATGAAATTCAGCATATATAGTAAAAACCTAAGTACATCATTTTAGCATTTTTCTGTTAATTGTAAATGGTTGCATGAGCATCTAGGCAATCATTTGGACTACTTGAGCTGAAGCACAAATTTACACATAATTTCATTTTATGCAGTACCTGCTAGCATACATCCCTCAAATACAACATGATGATACCATGTATTATTATTATTCTATTACATATATCAATTTGGAATCAGTTTCCATTTCATACATAACAACAATTGATTTCATAAGATCATGGAAAAATTTATTGAATCAAGAGTGATTTGGATTCAAAATATTTGGCATTCCTAATCAAATACTGTATATCTAAACTTTTTTATTCATTAATACTCTTGAATACTATTTATTAAAACATATTTTCTCTCAGTTCTTGATTGATTGCTATTCTCTCAATTAGTTGTATTTCCTTCAGAATTAGCACAAAGTTGCTGTTGAGAACAAATCACACAGGAACTCTCTTTTTGATGGAAAAAGGTTTATTTTCTATCATTTATAATATGTCTATCCTTTTAAATTATAGAAAATAAACCTATTTTTTCCATCAAAAACAGAGTTCCCGTGTGATTGGAATTAGCACAAGATTGCTGAGAACAAAAGGAAATACAACTATTTTCTCTATTTTTTTTCGTAAGAATATAAACAAAAATATATTGATACTAAATAAATAGTTTGTGCAATTCAGAATAGATGAATAATTTTACAGGTACAATGCATTGTTTTGCAATTGTAGGCATGCAGATTACTACAGTAGGCCAATTTGCATACATCACAGCATATTTTTCTATTATGATCTGATAAAATTTATGCTTTTGACCAAAGCAGTCTGTTTGGCATTGTATGCAAAAATTCCTTCTTAAAAAAGCAATAATTAATTGGATAGCAATGAAAAAAAGAAGTCAAATATCACTATGCAACAAGTTTAAAAAAAAAATCAAAATCTATTATGTTTAACAAAAAATAATTATTTAATAACTTTTCAGTACAAAATAACTTTTGATCCTGTATATAATGTGTTTCTTTGAAGAATGTGAAAGTGAAATGTATAATTTCATAAATAAATAAAAAAGTTGTACATTTAGACATGTGGACCACATATATAGCAAACTTCAAATAATTTTTACAAAAAACATTTCTTATAAAAAAACACATTCTTAGTAGACAGAACATATTCTTAAAGACAGCTACTGATGAGGTCCCAAGTTTTTATTCAAATTTTTACAAAAATGGAAAACATTTAAAAGGTATATGGACTACAATAGTAGTTCACACACCTGCTCTAAGGTTACTAAAGTTATTTATTTTTAGATGATTTTAAAATTATAAAATTAATTCCTAAACAGTTTGAATGCAATTCATTTTACAATTTTCAAATTCTATTATAGTCTTTAAGGGTAGAGCAGAATTAAAATTTTTTTTTAAAGGAATAATATTTAACAGATAAAATCTATATTGTATTGTATCTCCAATTTTCAAAAGATTGTCAATTTATTATTATTATTGGCTTTCAAACAAAACATGGATGTAAAAATAGTTATCAAAAATCAGATAAAAAAGTTTTCTACTCATGAAACAATCTATCTACTATAGAGAATTTAAATGTCTTCAGTATTTTTTATGTGAAATAATTTTTTATTTTTCAGTTTAAGCTTTCAATTCAATAAATGAAGACAAACTAAGTTCAATATGTTATTTTAGATCCCATCTTTTATTTGATATTTGAGAAAATCAAATATTAGAAGGGAGGAAACAAAATCAAAATCAACATTTTTATTCATTTTATTCATTCAGAACTTACATTAAATGACTGTTTAATGTAAATTCTGATGCTATATATTTTCTTTAGATTTACATATCTGATTAAATGCAGCAATTTTCATTAGCAGCATTAAAAATATTAATAAATCAAAAGTTTTTATATTACACAGAAGATATTACAGTATTTGTTGTTTTGAAATATATAAATTTTAATTTATTTTGGAAATATATTTAAAAGCAAATTTGAAATCTACTCAACAATAAATACCCATGGTGTTTGGTTGAATTGTAATAAACTAAAAAAATTTCAAACTGACAAAACATCAAAATGGCAAATTAACCTTTAACAATCTTATCACTAACTCAAATTTTATCAAATATTTGCTTTCTTAAAATATATTTTGTTTTATCAGCATCTTCTTTGGTTTAGTAAAAACAATAGTTTACCTAACAGTTTAACTATGCATATTATTCAGATCATCTTCAGATTTTATTACTTTGCATTTTTTAAATAGTTTATTTATGGCACTTTTAGCAAATTCTTCACTTACAGTATGTGAATCCACCAATTCATGTGATATCTTTCGACATACCACCTTATATAATTCTTTAGTTATTTTCTTTTCTTTGTACTTTGGATCTAAGTACTTACGAACTAAATCTACTGCAGTTTGAAGATTTATGCTATTATTAATTTTATTTTCCATACTAACTACTTTTATTTTATGAGTTTTCTTTCTTCTCGAATCTTTGTGTTTTTTTTCACTATGCAATTTATTACTTTGACCATCGTTTACTAAACATATTTTAGAATCTATTTTATCTTGTTTTTTCTTAGTGTCTTTTGTCTCCTTATTTTCAAAAAAGTATTTAATAACTGGTTGAGGTTTGGAAGATGTTTCTTTCGTGTGTTTATCAAGATTCTCATTTTCAATTGTACTGTCTAATTCTGAAGAAGTATCAGATTTTTTATCATTTTCACAAATAGGCTTATTTTCAAATTTTTCACTTCCTTCTGAAGAATTATCATTAGTATTCAAATTTAATATTAAATTTTCTTCTTTGCTGATATGTTCCATTTCTTTTTCTTCTTCCATATCTCTTGTAGAATTTACATCAATATCAAATTGTGAACTAATTACAGATGTTTCTGGAATTGTTTCATCATATCTTCTTGGTGATTCTGAAAATAAATTAACACTCTGATCATTTAAGTCATCTTCTGAATAATTTTCATTAGACAAAGTTTCATTTTCTTCACTTATATCTGGACTTGAAATTTTTCTTGAATTTGATGTTCTATCATTGTCATTATCTTTTTTATCATCTTTTGAAGAAGTTGAGAACATATCTAATAATGTATATAACCTAGGTTTTGATTTTTCTTTCTTGTACTTTTTAGCAACACAAATAGAAGGATCAAAATTTTGAAGTAAAGAATGTAATTCAAATTTACTTGAACACTCTCTGATTGATGTAAATAACTGAACAAATTCTCTGCGATACATGTGAATATTTCCTTTAGTGCTATAAATAAAATATTCATGTGATTTAGCACAGTCCAATAAATTTTCCTCATTAAACTGCAAATTGCATATTTTATTAACTCGATCATAGTGAGATTTTAATTCTTCTTGTAATTTTTCTAAATATTTTTCTCGAATTTGAACTGTTACTTCTGGAATTGATTTACTGTCAGGTTTTAAAACGGATGAATCTTTTGAAGAATAGTTCTTATTGGATGAAGGTGTCACTTTTCTTCTTTTAAATTCTTTTTGAATAAATGCTGTAAGTTGTTTTCCTGCTTTTCTGTCTGCAGCTTCTGAATCGTAATCATCATCATCGTTATCATAAGAATTTGTTTCATTTATAATCCCTATTCGTCCACCACCATATAAATTATCATTGTCTTCTTTTGTATGTTTTTTGTAGCCTAATTTAGTAGTAAAAAGAGTTGATTGAAACTGTTTAATTTTATTTTCAACATGACTTAATTTATAACATACATCACAGTGCTCTTTGCAATTTGTAATATTATCACCGAATTCACTTGCCAACAATACGTGTCGACACACTGCTTCCTCACAGTATTTTATAACACGATTAAAGGCTTTAATAGCATTTTCTGCTTTGGATTTTTCATTAGATGTTTTTGCTGCATAAAAATCTCGTTTTAAAAGAAACAAAACAGATTCACGATCACTACGAGAATAATATATACGGCATCGCGACGGCTTACCATCTCTTCCCGCCCTACCAGACTCTTGATAATATCCGGCAAGCGATTGCGATGCTGTCCAATGTGCAACAAAACGAACTGTTGATTTATCTACACCCATACCAAAACTTATAGTAGCAGCTATAACAGGAACTTTACCAATCATCCAATCATTTTGAGTTAAAGTTCTTTCATTTGATTTTAAACCTGCATGATAAGGCTTTGTAAGAAGACCAAGGTTAGTTAATTTGAATGAAATTTCTTCACATGCCTCTCTTGTTCTACAATAAATAATACCACAGTTTCTATTTTCTGGAGGATCATCTTCCCACATCTCACCAAATGCCTGTAATGCAAATACTTTTAAATTTTCATACGGGTCATCCAAGCAATCCTTAAACATAACATCGTAGAAAAGATTCGGTCGAAAACACGGCATTTTAAATAACTTGGCAGGCTCTCTAAACTTAAGATGGGACAGTATATCGTCTTTCACATTAACGGAGGCCGTGGCCGTGAGAGCGACCCACGGAACGTCGGGATACTTCTCTTTAATTTCACTCAATTTTAAATAATCCGATCTAAAATCGTGACCCCATTCAGAAATGCAATGCGCTTCGTCTACCACAACTCGTGCTAAATTTTTCTTAACAAACAATGTATGTAAAATATTTCTGAAACCAAAAGTAGCTGCCTGTTCGGGAGTTATATAAAGAAGTTTAATAGTCGGTTCATTTTGGCAAAGATCCTTTTTCACTCTTTCTCTTTCTGATTTTGACAGAGTCGAATTTAATGTTTCTGAAGGTATTTTTAAAGCTCTCATCTGTTCTAATTGGTTTGTCATTAATGCAATTAAAGGAGAGATTACAATAGTCACTCCTTTTCTCTTATTAAATAAAGCAGGTAGTTGGTAGCATAAGGATTTCCCAGCACCTGTGGGCATCGATATAAAGACATCGTCTTCACCCAATGCTACACATTCCACAGCATCTCTCTGCAAATCATTTCTAAAATTTCTATAACCAAAAACTTCGTATAATATTTTATAAAGTTCTTCAATACAACTGTTATTGACATTATACAACGCCATTATTTTAAATATTTAAACTTTTCGTAATCGAAATAACGTTTTTGTAAAATGCATACTCACTACATTTTTATGTAAATTGAATGTAGCCAACACTCGCTTAATCCACGTTTCATCCACGACTCTGTTTTATTTTTCTATTTCATTCGAAAGCCAAAGACCACTTTGTATAAAATTTCTTCCGATTAGCGATGTATTGCGTCATAGTATGAATTCAACCAATCCGATTCTTTTTTATTTAATTGCAGTATGCCGGTGGATATAGGTGGCGCGCCAGCGTGAAGTGTGGTGAAAGGTAAACACGCCGAGAAAGTAATAAATTCAAAAAAATATTAAATATGTCGAATTATACAAAAGATTATATCGAAAATAAATTAAAAACTGAACTAGAAACAACCCATGTTGTAAGTATTTATGAATATTTACGTTACTAAATTCATTTAATTAATAAAACTATAAAGAGTTGTGTGATTATTACATTATATATTTAATTACTGAAATTTTCATTTATATATTAATAACTTGAGAAAATTAAACATTTCTACATATTAGTGAATCAATAACAAGTCAAATAAAATCATTACAATACTATTAATACCATTGACTACTTAAAGTTAAAAATCTATTAAAAAGTAAAAAATTACCTTCTTTAGTAAAGGAAAATTAATCTACACCAATATTTGCCTTGTCAAACCATCTTCATTTCGTCAGTAACATGTTTCACTAATTTTCTTCCCTCTTCTATATGGCAATTCATTTTTTATGGATAAGATATCTCTGCAATAAGTTTGCTTTTAACAGTCATAAATTTTTAAAAAATTCATTTATTCTTCCAGTTTATTAAAATTAAGGAATTATGTATTTGGATCTGTTGTTTTAGAATCTTTAAGTTGACTAAATTTTGCACTACTTGCTTTCTGCCAAACATTAGTTTAGCAGGAATGTATTTTACTCGACCAAATTTAGTGTATCAAGAAACTGATTGTAGAAGCCACATAACTAAAATACTGGCATATATAAGCAAAATTGAACAGTTAATACTATTATAAACAATGTTCTCTCGTATTTCTTTAAGTTCTGTTATGAATATGTTATTAACCTGAAGCAGACCTTGGGTGAGGCCAAAAACTTGTTCCTGAAATTTAAGCATTATCAGAGATAAAGGTTCATTGAGTGGGAGTGTTTAGATATTGAAGTATACTAAAATGGTATTTAATTTTTCTTAATAAATATTTACAATCATTTAGAGAGAATCTTTAATTTTGTAACCATATGTTGTGAAAATTATTGTTCAGTTGAAAGCTAGGATAACCAGTTGAGTGTAAGCAACCATGAGAAAATTAAAATTGATTAATAAAGACATTGATTTATTGTAGTATGTGTACAAGAATTTTTATAAATGGAAATGGATAAAATATTATCAATAAATTAAAACAAAAACTAAGATTTATCATTTCTCTACAATAAGTTTAACTTTCCTTTTTTTTATGGAGAGTGACCATATGCTGGTCCCCAGCTGCAGAGTCATTCTTATGCTGCTGTATTATATGTATTGCATGTGGATACTGCTAAGCTGAGGAACTTAGCTACCAAAGCTGCAGCTCAACATGTACAGTACATAAAGTTTTAAATTTAGTGTAAGATACTTTTTGTTTTTGAGCAAATCTTATAAATTTTCATGTTTTAAATTGTGTATGTAATTTGGATTCATTTTACTGTTGTAGATTACAGTGAAAAAATATACAATTGTAGATAGCATTGAGTTGACAATGTTTTAGAAAACTTATTGTTTGCTACCTAATTCAGCAATTAAATAAAGGTTTAATTAAAGAGATTAATGTTAATATTATAAACTTATTTTTAAGAATTCTCATCTTTAATTATATATCATCATAGCAAAATTATTCAAAACAAAGAACAAAAATAAATATTTTGTTTATGAAAGATTTACATTTTTTATATTATAAAAAATGCACAATGGATAGGCAAAAAATAATTTTAATGGAATTAGTTCATTATATGTAAAAATTTATATTGCATATAAAATTTTTTTCATGGTTCCTATGAAAGGCAAATTTGTTTTTCTCTAAATTAGAATGTTTTGTTTTTGTTACAAATTTTTATATACAGTCAGTCCAAAAAGTCCTGGCACTATTGTTCTAAAAAATCAAAAGTAAATAGAAAGATTTTTAATATTTATGATCTACATTGTCTCCTCAGTCTTAATGCACCATTGACAGTACAACCACTGAAAAGTGCTTGAAAATTCTTTTGTAATCCTCTTGATGTCTTCTAAATCATCATACTGTTTACTCTTCATGTTCAGTTTGGACTGTGGAAAGAGGAAAAAGTCACATGGTATAAGGTCTGGCAGATATGCTGGATGAACAAGCACAGGGACTTGTTTTTGAATCAAAAACTGCTGCACAATTCCAGCTGAATGGGCTATCACATTGTTGTGAAGCAGGAAAAAAAAAAAGAGAAACAAGAGAAAAGGAGTGACTATTGTAATCTCTCCTTTAATTGCATTAATGACAAATTACTTTTTGTTTCCCATCTTTTGAGGCAAATATCTATTTCAAAGACATTTAATTACACCCAGATAGAAGCAGGAAGTCACAGTGGGATAAATTCTTTGCCTCAAAAAATGTGATGAGTACCCTTTGTTTTGAATTTGATCCTTTAAACTTTGCCTGGTCATGTTTCACCAGTATCCAATCACTCAGAACTTTGCCTTTTTGACAGATAGTGAATAGGAATTTTAGAGGAGAAAACAGTTTTTGTTACAGAAATACTGTATGTGGCATTATACATGTCTAAGGAACAAAAAGAATTAGTATAATATACTAAATTTTAAAATGGAAGAAATTGAAAGAATGGTTTGCATAAATTGAACAAAAGAAATAAAAGCTTATAATGATAATTACAGATGATATTAAGATTGAAAGGAATCAGAAAAAATCCAATAACAAGTTGCTTAACTTTCCCAACAAGATTTAAAATTTTGGTGGTGTCATCTATTATGATATTTTATTTAAAAATTTTTTTTTTATGTTTTTATTATAAAATGGCAAAAAGCTTAATTTTGAGGTTAGAACAGGTTTTATAAAAAATTGTAAATGCAAATAACCTGTAAAATATGTCATTAAGTCCAACCATACTTGATAACACACAATCTCACTTTATCTCCCCACCTTGTCAACCTATAACTGACAGAATTTAATAACATCAATCTCTCTAATATAAAAACCTCCCTCTAAAATTTCAAAAATTTTTGACAAAAAGCACAGGAGTTAAGATTCAAAGAGGATGAATAAAATTGTGCCCCATACACACACACTAAAATCCATACATACAGAATAAACCCCAAATTCTTTTGCATTTCTCAACATTTCAAGATCCTAAGTCCAAAAATGTAAATCTTGGGGAAGCCTTTTTTGACCAATTACCATACTTTCTGTTATGTATAACAGAGCCAAAAAAGTAAAAATTATTATTTCATATTGAGCATTTTTTTATTTTTTTACTATAATAATAATAATAAATATTCAACAGTGATCATTCACAATATAAGGAAATTTATGTCTTGTCTGTTCAAATATTCTCTATAAAATTTAAATTATTTTAATTTTTTTCAGGAAGTTGAAGACTTGTCCGATGGCTGTGGAGCTAAATTTAATGCTCTTATAGTTACTTCAAAATTTGATGGTAAACCCTTACTTCAAAGGCATAGGTAATGAAGGTGATATATTAAATTAAAATAATATACTTACAATATATATTTTAATAAAAATACTTTTAAATTTAGAATGGTGAATGAAGTCCTAAAAGAAGAAATGAAAGTTATTCATGCTTTTACTCAAAAGACATTAACCCCTGAACAATGGGAAAAACAAAAATTAACATCAGCATAATTGTAGAGAATTAAATTTTTTTAATAAATTGACTGATAACTTTTTATTTTCTAATTATTATTTTAATGCAATTTAGCATTATTATAAATTTCAGTATTTTAATTTTTTTTCCATTTGGATTAATTATTAATATATGTAAAGCTGACTATTAAGTGAAATACTTTATGGAAAAGTTTAATAAATTTTTATAGTATTAATTTATTTATTAATTTCTAATTGTTTGTAATACAATTTGTAATTTTTCTCATCAAGTGTAGCTTATCTGTTCGTAATATATTGGGTTGTTTACTTGGCCACAGAAAAGATTTTTTAATTAAACTAACAAACCTTTGTATTTAATTAAATTTTTAAAGTTTAAAACTTTGATCATCCTTCAAAGAAAATTTAAGATTACTTCATTACATAAAAAGAAATTTTCTTGTCATAATTTTCTGTTAAATTTTATTTAAAGTTATAGTAAACTTCATGTCAATTTAAATAAGAATCCATTTTAATCTGGATTAACTACACAATGTTGAATGAAAATTTAAAGTACAAGCAAGGAATTATCATCCAATATCTGAACAAAACCAACAGAAATGGACAATACATATTAGAAATATTGAGATAAATATTTATACATGAATAATTAAATCATGTTCAAAGTAATTTGTTGAAAATTTTGGGTTAATATATAATTTAAAAAATCTAATGATTTCCCTAAATTCAGGAATGCACAATCTTTTCTGAAGAAGGGTCAGATTAAGATTAAGTTTACTGACCAGGGCCCCCCGGACCATTTTTACAACCGTCTTTGTTGACAAGGAGTCTAAGTCTATTACTTTAGCTGTGGGCAGTGTTGACAATCACGGGAAGTTTATGGCTTGACATGGTTTGAAATAATTATTAAAATATCGTTATTTTTATGGTTTCTCAGCACTATTTTCACTTATTTTTATGTTATTTGATGCTATTTAGACAAATGAGCAAGTTTTCCAAAGCATAAAATTGAAAATTTTCTGCCAAAATAGAAACTTTCTGATAGCATTGAAAATGATGTTCTAACATCACTTATTCTATTTGATTCTTCTAAAAATCGTTATAATAGACTTAAAATATTCGATATCTAAACCAGAAAGTGTGTTAGCTACAATTAGCCAAACTTCAATCGCTCCCATTTCTCACCTGGAAAAGTCATAAAACAGTTGGGTGCTAATGACTTTGTGAAAGGAAAAAAGTTCTATTCTTGAAACTTTGAACTTGTTTGGGAAAGGAAAAATTTATCTAGCTAACAGATGGCAATTTTTCCAGGTTACTTTTATTAGATTCTCGGTTACTTTTATTGGATAAAGCCATGTGTTTCAATCCTAAAAGTACCATCTCAACTTAAAAGGAGTGTAAGTAATAATTTTATCGTCCAATGAAGTGGAAAAGGTTCTCCATAGACTTAACATAGGAAGGGTTTGTTTCACTGCATTAAAGTAATAGGACCCACATCGCAACAAAGCGAGTAAAATCCATAGACACACTTGAAAGTAGGGATTTGGCCCGTATCTTCTGCGGGCTGCATAAACATTGAAGGGGCGCCGTATGTGGCCCCTGGGCCGCAGGCTGTGCATCCCTGCCCATGTCTTATCAGTCATTTCATTTGAAAAATCAGTATGTGATTTTTCAAATGAAATGACTAATAAGACATAAAACCCAACATAATTAAAATTTTAATAAAATTTAATTCAAAATATTTATGTGAAATTTATATACAACTACAGGAACAATTTATTTCAGATTGCGAATAATTTAAAATATTAATGCTGAATGTTTATAATTGCAACAATCTCAACGAGTTAAAGATGTTTTTGACATTCAGAATGCATTCACATTCATTCATTCATTAGTTTAATTGTACATTTAAAACAAGGTACAAAGTCCTGCCCCGCAGTGAGCATTACAGGAGCATATCCTGTAATTCATAATGCATAAATCCTAAAATGCATTCACATTTTAATCAATGTAAAGGATCATGGAAAAAATTATTTGAGAAGTACATTGTTAAGAAATTTAAAAAAAAACCATAATGTAGAGTGGCCCACAAAAAATACCCCACTTTCAATTATTGGCTAAAAGGAACAAATGAGACAAAATGAAATTAAGAAAAAGAAGTTTTTTAAAAACTTAGTTTTATTCATAAAACATTACGGAAACTTACATAACCAATACTTTGTCATTTAAGGCGACCACATTTTAGTCAAATTGGTGAATGGCAGTCTGGTAATATCCTGAATATATCATAATGAATAAAGTTAATTTTTATCAATATTTTGGAATGCATTTCTCTCAGAAAATAGTATTGATAAAATATTTAAAAATTAAATTTTCTCAAATGCATATAAATTATTAAAAATTGTAAGTAAAATTTTAGACAAGTTTTTTTTGATATAATTAAGTAAAATCTAAAACTGTCAATTTACCATATTTTTCTAACTGTTCAACCATATGTCAATAGCAATGAGGTCAAACAACAGAACAGGACAACGTGGAAGTCAATTATACTTTTATGTTCACAAAAATATCATTTCTTCATTTAACGAAAAAGAAATAAAAAAGGTTTTATAATTCTAATTGGGCTGCAATTTGAAAAAATTGTAGACCTGTAAATTTCCTCTGTGGTTCCTTAATCTCGAGAATGGAGTTAGATAGATAAAAGATGAGACCAGATATGGAAACCTTAGGGGAAGGAGGCCCTGATTAACTATATAAAAACTTCTGATGCAAACAGGAAGTCATATTATTTCAATTCAAAAATTTTCCCCTGAAGTGTGTTAGTCAGTGGTGCGTAAACTATTTTTATTTCCGACCCCCCATTTTGTGTAAAATTTTCTCGTGACCCCTGGATAGACAGTAGACTTTTTATTAATCTTTAAAGTGAAATTCTGGGATTTGCACTTATGTTTCTGCCTTATTAGAGGTCTGAATAAAACACATAATTTTATGAAACAATGCTTTTATTTATGCATATACTTGTTGAAGAAAAGCCTTATATTTTTTATTGTCAAATAAATTTCTTTGGCGACCCTGAAAATTTTTCCCTCTGGGGGTTGCGACCCATGGTTTGTGCACCACTGAGATAGATGACCAGCACGACTCTGTTTCTGCAGGAAAAGTATGATGTACAGGGGCAAGACTACTAGTTTGAGGGGGAGAGCTATATTTTAAATTAAATTAAATAAATTAAAAATGTGATAAAAAAAATTGTAGTCCGGCATTGTAACAATGTCACAATAAATAATTGCTCATTATTTTTACATTCATCTTTGGATGTTAATTAAATTTTTTTATATTCTGTTATTTTATAAATATACATTTTTAAAAATTAATATTTAAAAGAATTGGTATATTTAATTATATAAAATAATGTGAGAAAAGTTAGCAAAAATGAAAGTATAATATGCTAGAACTGTGTTAAATTTCATGTAAAAAGTTTTATTTGAAAAAATTGAAATTTAAATGTTGCATTTATATAGTTTATATTATTAAGTATATTTGTTTTTTAGGTTAAGAAAATTATTACAAACACATTTTGGTTTAAAAAATTCTATGTGAGGTTCTGTAGATCAGTGGTTCTTAACCTTTTTATACTCGCGGACCACCAAATATTTCATAATTTTTTTGTGACCCCCATTTTTTAAATAATTTATACTGTATTTGTTAAATTATCTATAATAAATAGATTTTTTTATTATTGCTTTATTTTTAAAATTCCAAGCATTAATAGTTTCTTAGAATTACTTTGGAATAAAAGAAGTAAATACTGCGGTGTAAGTAGCATATTGCATTTATTTCTTCTGTACTAACAAAGTTCTGTGTAGGAAGAAATAAGAAATAAATAAATAAAAAACTAAATACGAAAACTTTATCTTTCGTATTTCACTTTTCGATACGATATTCGGTTATACATAAATTTTTTTTTATTATATTCTGAAGGAAATATTGCATAATTTGGCGGCCCCCGGCAAACTTCTTACGGACCCACAGGGGGCCGCGGCCCCCCTGTTAAGAAACACTGCTATAGACCAGTGTTCCGCAAGCTTTTTCTATTCGTAGCACACCCATGACTCGACATGTCTCAACACGGCACACCAAAATGTCATTCCCATCAAAAGCGTATGATATGATACTATTAATAGAATTACGTAATGTCACTACTCTATTATTATTATTATTATTATATTAAACAGACATCAACACCCGTGAGCAAATTTATTTTACATTTAATTTCTTAAAATACATAAAAATGCGTGGCTTGTAATAAAGAATAAACGAATATCATCTTATAAGATAACACTTGAAATACAAGCATAAGAAGCACAGCAACTGTGATAAAAATATATAAATAGAGCTTGAAATAAATAGAATAGGGCCTATGTAAAAGTTCACGTCACACCTTACACCTTGTGACGGCACACCGGTTGCGGAACACTGTTGTAGATAGTGTGCAGTGGTTTCCAATAAAATAAAAACATGCTGACGTAAAATAGTTTATTTATTTCTAATATCATCTACAGTATGTGTTCTCATCACACTCCCCCCACACACCTAACAGGAAAGCAAAAAACGGAAACTAATCTCATGATGTACTTGATGCCTCTTGAATCCAGGAAAAATGCAATTGATTTCATATTTGGTTACATGAGTAAAATTATCACAACAAAATCTAAATTCTGTTTGATTTCTACCATCCTTAAAACAGAATTTGAACAAAAACATCTGAGATACAAAAAAATTGCACCGAGTTAAAAATTATGACAATTTAGATAACAAAAAAAAAAACTTTTTGAGTATTGTACTTTATTATTATTGGATTTAAAATACAGTATAAACAATTTGGTTCCAAGAAGAGCAGTTTTAATAATAAGTGTAAATCAAATTCAAACAGTTTAATTTTTTTAAGAACAGAATCTGTGTATTTATTTGAAAAAATAATTTAGACTTTGAAATACAGTCGACCCCCTATAACACGGTAGATACGTTCCGGTTTTTATGAAATCCATTTTCTACGAGTCCTTAAATATGTGAGCCAATCACAGCCCGGCACGTATGCAGTTTACGGAC